TGTGTATCAAACCGTGAATCCCCAATTCACCAGCACATTGTGTCCCCACTCACATTAGCTTACATTGGGGTTTTCATATCGTTCAGAAGGACTTTAATAACTTTGAAAATTTCACAGAAAGTAAAATCCTGAGCCGAAAACCGACTCACTTCTCTTAATTAGGTGCCGCGACGGCCAATGCTCCTAAACCACGCTTCACTGGTTACAAAACAGGTTGCTGACATGTCCAGCATTGGAGCGAAATCTGATTGGTCGAAAATCACGACCTTACAGCCAATCATGTTCAAGTACTACAAAATGCCAGCGCACAGTACCGAACTCCATGGGTCTACTATAAGCCTGTTTATGACTATGCGTCCAATGTCCACCCAATTGTAATTCGCCCAATGAAGACGATGTTTTTAAGAAGCTGCGATGTTTTCGCGTTCACGGGCTCCTGGATAAAGTGTTCTGCGATCAAGAGGTCTTTCTGTGAATTATTCGATCGAGTCGTTCGTCCAAATCGTTGACAAGTATTTGTTCACACAACAGAGAACATGCATCAGGGGGTAGTTGGTTGTCAAGCAGGACGGCTTATGCATCACACGTAAGGCTGTTATCTACAGACTGCAAAAAAGCATGGCGGCATGTGACATGTTGAGGCCAAACGGGAAGGCTGTTTTAGATGCGGGTGCAGTACTCTAGAAAGAAGTAGTGGCATGGGTTTGTACCCGCTAGAGCAGACATTAGGATGTGGTTCAAGGCCCAAGTTTATGCAGCAAGAACGGTAGGTGAGCATGCTCGATTGCGGGAATAACGTCTTGGTGGACGTAGGTCGGACGTCCTCAAGTGCCAGCTTACACCTTTGGGTATAAAGAGAAGAGGGAACAGGACAGAATTCCACGCATAGCTTATTGCAACATTGGTGAGCATGCTCGACTGCGGGAATAACGTCTTGGTGGACGTAGGTCGGACGTCCTCAAGTGCCAGCTTACACCTTTGGGTATAAAGAGAAGAGGGAACAGGACAGAATTCCACGCATAGCTTAAAAATTGCAACATTTGTGTTTGACAGATGAAGAAGCGTAATACTAGAAAACAGCCTATGCGCCCGGCGACCTGTTACTGGAGTTGGTGAGAAAAGCCGAAGGTACAGGGGTATCTGAGACCAAGTTCTTTGATATCTGTGGAATGAGTGACAAAGTCCCCATTAATTGTGAACGCATCAGCCAGTATGGAACAGCGGCAGGAAGTGATATGGGACTTGCAGGAAGATGGGCGTAGGCTGTGGGCACTTGACCAGCGAGTCAAATGGTCTGGGTCCTATTGAATTTGGCGAAAGACTAGATTTTCAGTAGAGGAGGAAATGTGTAAAAGATTTTTATATCGTCCGCAAAAATGAAGGGCTTACCATGGGTCATGGCCCCTAAGATTTCTTTGATATGGAGTAATAATAATACTGTTTATTCCAAGCTGGTTGGTGGCATATCGTCAGGCATAATCACACGATTACAGGCACAATAAAGAACAACCGAGAGATTAACGGGTACTGGGGATTGTGCGAAAAAAGGACAGTCATGAACAGTGGGCAACATACGGGATAGCCATGGTCTCGTCTGAACAGACATGAGAAAGGAAACTGAAAATCCCGCCGCCAAAAGAGTTGCACATCCCCGAACCTATCACCTCAGCCATGCTGCCCGTTAATGTGCTGTCCAGAAACCAAGGTGTGTCAGTTCAGTAATGGCGCGATACTGCCATACTTAGTCCGAGGGCACACCCGTGACTATTTCCTCCACACTCTGAAATATCCTGTCGCCATCCCTTGACCCTTGCTGTAAATGTAGACAAACTGCCGACCTATCCCCAGCTATATATTAAGTGCGTACATTGTACTCCAACCAACCCTCCGCTCAGATCCAAACATCCCGGCGCACTCTCAGTTTGTCTTCGAAACAAGGTGATTTCCTTTGCAGTTCGCGCTCAACCCTGTGCGTTAGCACTACCTCAATATCCCAAGGGAATTGAACACCTGCCTTCAATCAAAAAGCTATGCCAGTGTGTTTATATAGCTTAACTGTGCACCGCGATTCTGAGGTTCAACCGACCAGTAATCCGTATCACAAACCTTGCACTTTTCGCGACCCTGGACATAAACTCAATTATTCAAGACGACGAAGCCTTACCAGTTGCCTTAAATTTTAGTCCACGTTAGCCGGCCGGATCACCGAAACAATGCTGCTTCACCCGATTCGTTGTCATGGATGCTCCTTTTCAGCAAGTTTCAGTTATCTAACCACGTGCCAGACAGATTCACGTATCGGGGGTAGGCTGTGGGCACTTGACCAGCGAGTCGAATGGTTTGGGTCCTATTGAATTTGGCGAAAGACTAGATTTTCAGTAGAGGAGGAAATGTGTAAAAGATTTTTATATCGTCCGCAAAAATGAAGGGCTTACCATGGGTCATGGCCCCTAAGATTTCTTTGATATGGAGTAATAATAATACTGTTTATTCCAAGCTGGTTGGTGGCATATCGTCAGGCATAATCACACGATTACAGGCACAATAAAGAACAACCGAGAGATTAACGGGTACTGGGGATTGTGCGAAAAAAGGACAGTCATGAACAGTGGGCAACATACGGGATAGCCATGGTCTCGTCTGAACAGACATGAGAAAGGAAACTGAAAATCCCGCCGCCAAAAGAGTTGCACATCCCCGAACCTATCACCTCAGCCATGCTGCCCGTTAATGTGCTGTCCAGAAACCAAGGTGTGTCAGTTCAGTAATGGCGCGATACTGCCATACTTAGTCCGAGGACACATCCGTGACTATTTCCTCCACACTCTGAAATATCCTGTCGCCATCCCTTGACCCTTGCTGTAAATGTAGACAAACTGCCGACCTATCCCCAGCTATATATTAAGTGCGTACATTGTACTCCAACCAACCCTCCGCTCAGATCCAAACATCCCGGTGCACTCTCAGTTTGTCTTCGAAACAAGGTGATTTCCTTCGCAGTTCGCGCTCAACCCTGTGCGTTAGCACTACCTCAATATCCCAAGGGAATTGAACACCTGCCTTCAATCAAAAAGCTATGCCAGTGTGTTTATATAGCTTAACTGTGCACCGCGATTCTGAGGTTCAACCGACCAGTAATCCGTATCACAAACCTTGCACTTTTCGCGACCCTGGACATAAACTCAATTATTCAAGACGACGAAGCCTTACCAGTTGCCTTAAATTTTAGTCCACGTTAGCCGGCCGGATCACCGAAACAATGCTGCTTCACCCGATTCGTTGTCATGGATGCTCCTTTTCAGCAAGTTTCAGTTATCTAATCACGTGCCAGACAGATTCACGTATTCACGGAATGATACACAGAGCCGAGGCAATTGCCCAGGATTTCCGGGTCGGTTTTGTTCTTGTCGTTCGGTGTTTGTTGTTCACCTGAAAGGCACAAGTGAAAAAAAGAGTGTAGCACTGCTCTTTGTGTTCTCAGCGCGGGGCAGTATGCTTGCCAGCGCGAGGATTCGCACAAATAAATGTCTAGTAGTGCTTTGAGCTGTGTTCTGAAAGGAGCGTGAAAAACCGTCGGAGGAAGGTCATTTCGCTCAACCACCATCCGAAATGAGAAAAGACTTTACCTGATGAATATGTGCGCTGTGAACTTGAGAATCTTCATACCATGTCCCCGCCGTGTGTTTGCTGGTTCAACGGTAAAAAATCCTGTTTGTCAAGCCTTGTTTAATCAGGGCATAAGTAAGAATTAGGTCCCCTCGGAGGCGACGGTACTCCAGAGGAAAGAGATCAAGCATCGCGAGACGCGTTTCGTAGTCCACGGATTTGAGGCCGGCGACCATTCTCGTGGCGGCTCGCTGGACACGCTCAATGAGGGTAACGTCTTCTCGTGCGTCCCGAGTAGTCAACTTGGTTGGCGTATTCCAGGAGCGGTCTGACGTAGGCCCCATAGAGCGTTTGGAAGTCCATGCGAGTAATACGGGAGAAGGTGCGTCGGATCATCCTTAAAATGCCGAATACCCTTTGGGCCGATTTCTCATGGTACAGTGAGAGGGACAAGTTTGAGGAGACCCAGATGCCCAAATCCTTTTTGGTATCTATCCTCGTGATGTTTTTTGGTCTTTTCTCACCATGCACAACAAAGGCATTCGCTGAGTCTCCTCCAAACGACATATGGACGCGCTTTTCGTCATTCAGAGGAAGGTGCCAGTCCAACGACCACTGCTTTGCAGCGTGTACATCCATTTGGAGGGCACTGACATTGGAACCCCAGGATTTCAAGTCGTCCGCAAAAAGTAGACATGGACTTGCAAGAACATCTGGGAGGTCGTTGACGTAGATCAGAAACAGCACTGGTCCCAGGACGGAGCCTTGAGGAGCTCCAATGGATACCGGTCGAGCCTATTCTCACTCGGAATGACCTGCCTGATAGGAACGCCTTGATCCAGCGAAGGATTTTGCCTTGAATCCCGTAAGATTCGAGTTTGTGGAGCAGCGGGACGTGTGGGACCCTATCAAATGCTTTTGAGAAGTCGAAAAATATGGCATCCAATATGACTTGGGTTTAGCTGTCCGTGAACGCGAGCATGTTTGTCACTCAGTAGCGGTGTGGGAGAAATCCTTGTTGAGCTGGATAAGTAAGGTAGTAAGGTGCTGGAAGTAAGGTTATTTGGGATAGCTTGCTTCAGAATGCGTTCCATCACCTTGCACGGCACGCTAGTGAGGCTTATAGACCTGTAGCTGTCAGGCGATAGTCGGTCACCAGTTTTGTAGACTGATGTGATAACCGCTTCCTTCCTTTTAAAGTATTCCGAAAGGGCATATTAACCTCTTGCGAAAAGCTATCGTTGAATCTCTGGTAGCATTTGCATCCGGTATTCCCTGTGGCATTGTCTTGCTTCAAATGATGGTTTGCCGAGTAGGAAAAATTCGTGATTATCAAGTTGTTTTTTGCCTCCGTTCGGGATGGTTCAAGATGGGCGTAGAACTTGATCCAAATTAAACTTACGGGTTTTCAAAGAACGCCACTTTTCCGAACGTTCATTAGTGGCCGTCCTTGACCTGAAGACCGATTTTGCTGCTCTAGCCGAAGACCGTGGCGACGCCCTCCTCCGGCCTGGGCAACCGGCAAGTCTCATTCGCCCCCTCCTCAGCCGACTCCTCACCACGCAGATCTTTTTGATTCATTTAGCTGTCAACCGCCTAATTATTACTTTCTGAGCTTCCGACTAGCAGCATAAATCAAAACAAGCCATCAAATTAAAAAAAGTCTGTCGACGTCCGTGTTCTGCCTACAGATTGACCACACGTAACCCTTACTCAGACGTTCTTTCTATTCGATCGATGTATGTTGTTGTGTTGTATGTTGTGTCCCAAAA